GGTACTGCATCGTTCTGTCATCTTTCTATATCCCACCAACACTATTATGTATAAATAAATGCATCTGATGAGAAAACAATGTATAGTAATTGTTTTCCTTTGCATTTTATTGCCACTAGAGTGAAATCTCTTATATTTATCTTCACCATTCATTTTTCATCTTGGAATATATTTTCTCAATTTCTTTGCATTTTAATTCTGATAATGTCAATTTAACTGTTTTATACAGTCAAATATACTGATGTTTTTAAATTTGCGCTTATATAAAGTTCTTTTCCATATAAAGAGAAGATATTCAACATGTTTCTTTGATTTCTGATAGGTCCAAACTTTTACATGTGTTTCTTTTATTCTTCTGGAATGCATTCCACTAGGTTTTCCAATCTAAATTATTTCTTGTATTTCAATACTTTCTCCCAAACTTCAGAAATTTATAAAGATAGAATTTAAATAAGTGGTGAAATATATATAACTTTTAATAAGTAATGCAAACCATCCACTTTGGGTAAAAAAGATTCCTACTTCACACTATAAAAATTGATTCCACATGAGAATATGTGTGTATTGTGAAAATATTTTTATCAAGAAAATACAAACTACAAATCTAGCCCTCTGGATAAATTCGATGCAGATTATGCCTCAACAGTTTGACAGCATGGGATTAAAGTGTAATAAACGTGATTAAGATATCCATCATATTGACATAATTTTTATATACTACTGCCTATATCTTAGATTATAATCGATAGAACATAACGATGGAACCTTTTTATTGTTCATGAAAAGTTTCTCTAAAGGATTTGATTACATTTGATTGGCCTCACTAGGACTCAGCTATATTCCAAAGCAAGATTTTTATTTGAATAAAAAGGGGCTCATAAGGTGAAATAAATAACAGTATAAAATACAGATTTACAAACATTTGTGGTTACTAATATAAATCCCCGTTTATATTACATGTAGGTATAATAGAGGATAATAAACAGGTAATTGACATGGAGGTGGAGAGAAAATATACCATTCTTCGTCACGGGTTCGGGTCTCTTTTTCCCAACAAAAATGAAACATAAGTCCTCCAATGGCTAAAGATCTCTCTCTCCGCCAGACACCAGGATCTCCCTGCTCGCGCATCACCGGACGTGGTACTCCCGGAAACACTTGGCATGCACGCCCTTCTGGCACTTCTCGCAGCGGGTGTTGGTCTGCGAGTGGCAGAGGGCGCAGCGGGTCCTCTTGTCCTGGTGCACAATCCAGTGCCCGATCATGTCGAAGCGGCTCTCGGTTTCCAGCCGCCGGCCACGCCTTCCCTGAGATGACGTGTCGGCATTGCTCTCCAGGTACACGCAGGCCACATACCTGCGGAAGGCCAAGAGGTCCACCTGCGCATCGCCGCAGCAGATCCGGTGCAGCTGCCATGCATTGTTGAGGGCGGCGTCCAGGACATAGCCCATGAAGCTGGAGTACCACTTGGTGCCCCGGACCCGCACCCTGTACCTGGCCATGTTCTGGTCCATGCGGCCCACGCCCCCCGCCTTCTCCTGGTACAGCTGCAACAGGCACGGCAGGCGGACCTGGCCTCGCGCCCCTGCCGCGCCTGCCGGACGACTGCTCAACCTCACCGGCTCTATGCCGGCGGCGTTGGAGCAGATGGTGACCACACTGCTGTCACGCCATCGGCACACGATTACCTCCTCACACTCATCCACTTTGTAATCGAACGAACCCCTCTTCATTTTCTTCAGTTCTTTGGGATCTTTAAGGGGGCAGCACTCTGTCCTATACTCACGCACAGTTCCTGTGGCCTTAACCCCCCTTCTCCTCAAAATGGACATCAGTTTGACACTTGTGAACACCTCGTCGATAAAGATGTGGTAGGGCAGCCGGCCGCGCTCCTGCAGCGCGTCTGTGAACCTCAACACCATGCTGGTGCCCAGGTCCAGGCCACCTCCCGGCCTGGTGAACAGCGTGCCCTGTGAGGGCTCGAACCACACCAGGTAGCCACTGCTGGTGGTGCCACACCAGACCCGGCAGCCTAGCCGCCCCGACCGCCCGGAGGGCCGCCGAGACCCACTCTGCCCAAAGTACTCACACGACGACTCGCCAAAGCTGTAGAACTCATCCAAGGGTGCGTGCTGCTGGAAACTGCGGTTCATACGCACAAGGAGAGGCCTTACCTTGGTGAACCTGTCGCTGTGGTCCAGCTCACTGTTATCCGCAAAATGCAAGTATGAGAAGATCAGCTCAAACCTGTCCCTCCTGATGGCATCTGCCACAAGATGGTGATGCGAATCAGGAGAAGTTTCCCAAAACATCCTTCTCCTGGGATAGGATATGTACCCGCTCAGAATCAGAATGCCCAAAACACACTTCAGTTCCTGGGCTGTGAGACCCAGATGGACATTTTTCTGCCAAGCATAACGATTGGTTTCATTAACAATAAAATTAATCGTTCCTTCATCAAAAAACAACTCGAAGAGGCCTACAGGACTCAGCTCCTGGCTCCTGAGGTGCTCCATATGTGGGTCCGACGCTGGCCAACTGCTGAAGTCCGGCCGGATGTCCCTCTTGGTCCAGACCCGCTGCGGCCCAGCTGCCCTCTGCCTCTTCAAGGGCAGCAGCAGCTGTGGGTCCTCCTCATCCCAGCTGCCATCATCCTCGGGCAAAACAGAGGCATGCAGCACATGGCCAGGCAGTTGGGCACCTGGCCAGCCATCCTCATCCCCCGAGTCTTCGTCAGTGAAGTCCCCCACGGCACTGTCGGGTGGGGCGATGAAGATTTCCTTTCTCTGATAGCTGGACCCATCCTCCAGAGCGCTCAGAACCTCAAGCAGCTTTGTGGATTTCAGGCTGGAACCTCCGCTAGCGGTGAAGCCACTGCAGTAATAGGAAACAGATTAGCACACCGCCCCCACTGCAAAGCACCTGGGCTTGAACAGCATCTGGAACCTGCACCCTCGGCACAGTGCCCAGGAAGTAAATTTCCAGACAAACACTGATTTAAACTATTTTAATGATGGGGGAGGCCTTCTAAAGAGGCATTCCACACTTTCTTTCTTCTTAAATAAATGTCCTGAATAGAGGGTCCCCTCCAGTAGCGAGTCCAGATGCCACTATCATCACCCAGATAACAGTAACCACCATTGGGAAGCCTGGACCACAGAAGCAATCCTCACGGATATCCCCTGACTCAGTGGCCCCAACAGCTCTGCTTCATGTTGCTGTCTCACCTGTCTCTTCCCTTTCCCGTATTCATTTGGCAAATACAAGTGTCTCCACTCCCCAAATTCTCAAACTCTCACTAGCTGAACTCTGGCTAGGTGAACTCTCGCTACCCAAGCTCTGGATCTGAACAGACCTAGACAGATCTTCAGATGAAGCATCCACACCAGACATTTCACTGCACACTCACTGCAGTCCAGATCTAATGCCACTGGAAAACACAGAAACCCCCTCCCTGGACCTGCGGGAACTTAGTGGATGGCAAGAGATACTATATCATGAGCAGGCACTGCCCAGAGGTTGAAGGTGGACACCCTCCATGCCCACCTGCTCAGGACTTGTTCTAAGTGGAAGAGACAGATGGCAGATCATCAAGCAAGTGACCCCACTGAATGGCATTGGGTGATGATGAAGGCCAGCCATCCTGGACGAGGATGGAAAATGCAGCCAAGGAGAGGACTGGGGTGCTACTCAGGCAGAGGGTAAATGAAGGCTCACAGGGTGAACGGCCTGCAAGTGAGGGAGTGAGGCTTGCAGACAGCTAGGGACAGGGTGGTCCAAGCAGAGAAGAACCAGCGGCACAGGCTCCGAGCCTGAAGAAAAATGGTACCTGCCAACAGCAAGGATGCCAGTTGCGGCTACAGGTGCAGTGCAGGGAGGAGAGCAGAGCTGAGGTGGTAGCAGGCCGCACGGGCTGCAGAGGCCCTCGGCAGCACTGAGTGTGTGTGACTGTCACAGGAAACCCGCAGGGGGGTGAGGGGATGCAGGATGTTGGGGGTCAGACATGGCACTCTGGCTATGAAAATGGGCTGCATGGGGACAGCGGGCCCACTGCTGTTTGCGCCCCTCTCCACGTGAAGAGCCCAGAAGGAGGCACGGGCTTCAGCACAGAGCCTGTTCGCAGACCTGCCCTCCATGTCTGGAGTGAGGTGCATTACATACTTGCTGCAAGCTCATGTCTGTGCTGCGGCCAAGTCCCTACTCTGAGCACTCTGAGCTCTACACGGGCCAGGAAGGAAGCTCCGCCTTCCAGGGGGAGGAAAGCTGAAGCCCTTTCCACAGAGTGCACACTGAGATGGGGGTCAGGGCAACAGCCACCTTCCCTCGTCCTCCAACTTAGCCCAGCCAGGGCCCCTATGAGCCTCACCTTACCACCCGCCGCATAGCCCCCAGGCCCCAAATGCCCTTGGCACATAGCTGTTCTGCCCCACGAGTGGGAGAGCTTGTGGGGAGGTGTGCCTTCTGTCTTCAACGTAAACCACGCTTTTTCCATCAAGGGCAGACATAGCAGCTTCACAGCCACACCGGTACCACATACTCCCTGTCTACCTGTCTTTCCTCTAACTTTCTCCAACCCCTCCTCTTTCTTCCTCCTTTTTGCTTCCTAGACACCAAGGACTTAGTGAGACCAGCAGGATGAAAGACTAAAATCATCATGGGCTTGGCCTTTCAAAAACAAAGGAGTAATTAATTACCTGTGTGAAGCCTCCCATCAAACAGCACTCCTACCTTGAGCCTGAAGCCATGATGAACTGGAAACACGTTTGTCTTGACGTGCAGAATCTAAGAATCTGTAAGACAACAGAAGTGGATTTTTTAGAAATTGCACTTTAACTAGCAAGGCAATAAGACCTTCTCTACCACTTAAGGGAAAACATCTCTAGCTTAATGTTCACCACCAACCAGTGGAAATGGGCTGAGTATATACAGGAAATGGTGTCTAGCCAATTCGCTAGTCAGAGGGAAACAGAACGAGTTCTGTCGCCTCACAACAGGATACACGCTAGGGCAGTGTTTTCTACGTTGGCATTGCTGGCATTTGGGGCTGGATGAGTCCTGTTGTGGGAGGCTGTCCCATGTATTATGAGATGTTGAATAGTAGAAGCATCCCAGGCCTCTACCCACCACATACCAGGAGAACAGGCATCCCTCTAGTTGTGAAAACAAAAAATCCTCCAGGCTTCGCCAAGTGTCCCCTGGGGACAAACTGTGCCCTGGCTGACAACTGTTCCAGTCAGCACCACTACTAGAACCTACTTGAGGAGGAAAACGCTGTCACCAATGCTGCTTGACATGGCAGCCATCAGCCACACATGGTTATTAAGCATGTGACAGACATGTGGCTAGTGTGACTGAGAAACTGGATTTTTAACTTTATGTAATATTAAGTTTAATTTAAATAGTCACATGCAGCTGGCTGGTGGCTACTGTATTAGACAGTGAAGCCCTAGATGTATTAAGAACTAATTGTGAAAAGGCAAAACTGTTAAATGTTTAAAGTATTCTAATGACCACAGAACAAGGAAGCTTTTCTTGTAGAAAATACAAAAACCTGAAGATTGGTAAAATGAACTACATGGAACCTCCAGCAAATCCGTGGTAGGTGGTCTCTAAGATGCCCCCAAAGCCCCTGACCCCTGGTGTTCACGCCTTGTGTGATCTTCTCCCCTGAGGAGGCTGGGCCTTGTGACTTCTCACAAATTCAATGGGGTAAAGGTGGTGAGCTGTTTCTTCTGGGGTCAGGCCACAAACAGATGGGCCCCACCTTGTGCTTGCTCACTCTCCCATGCCCTGATTGACTGACTCCATGGGCACCCAGCTACAATTTTCTGAGCTTCCCATGGGAGTGGCCCATGGGGCCAGGAACCAAGGGAAGTCCCTGGCCAGGAACCAGAAGGCACTGAGCCCTCAGTCCAATAACCACAATGACTGAACTCTGAGGGACACTCCCTCCCAATCACACCTTCAGAGGAGACCACAGCCCTTGCTGACAATTTGCAATCTCAAGAGATGATGAGCCACTGGAACTCAGCTAAGTCATAAGTGGATTCCTAACTGGCAGAAACAAAGATATAATGTTGTTTTAAGGTTCTAAATTGTGGGGTAATTTGTGATGCAGCAAAAAGTAACTAATATAACATTTATACAACAAAGCACTGAAAACAACAGTCAAAGTCATAGCTGTCATGAGATATTCAAAATACATATAACCAGGAAAGAACTAGTGTCCAGAATATATAAAGAATTCCTACAAAACAGTGAGAAAGATAAACAACCCAAAAAGGAACATTAGTTTATTAGCGAGCATTTACCCTCAGGAGCTCTCATCCACCTGGTGCTACTGAGCTTCCGTTCTGAGGACAATATAAAATGTAGAGACTAGAGGAGACTGAAGCAGACCTACGAAATGGGCTAATAGGACAGGACTGCGTGAAGACCCTGCACAGAGCTGCACCAGGAAACAAGGACAAACGATAAACAGTCCCACTGTACAGAAGTGGCCAGCAAGCAAACACCACTGCATAGGAGTGGGGAGGGCAGGGATCGTCTAAGAATTTTTAACCATGAATGTTTATTAGGCCAATTCACATTTCTTAGTGGTCTCAATAACCTCAAGTGAAAATTTAAATGGAAAGTGACCTTCACTGGCAGTGCCCCCCAGGGAATAGTGGAGACAAACAAAAACCTCTTGGTAGTAATATATCCCAAACAAGACTTTAAAAGACCTCCACTGAGAATAATTCCAAAGAGCATAAACTGACAATCAGAGAAAAAGGAAGGTTGCAAAATAAACAAGAGAACAAAAGCACCATGAATGGGAGCCAGTAGAAACAACACACAACAGAATCATACCCACAGAAACTAGATACTTTGCATATCAGAAAAATATGAAATAAGTATGTTTAATAAGTGCCAAGAAACAGCATGAACAAAAAAACAAGAAATTTAAAAAGAAATAAAAAGGTCAACAAGAGTTAAAAAAGAACCAAACAAAATTTTGAAAAACAAAAAGTCCAGCAACAACAACAACAACAAAAATCACAAAGGAAAATAAACCTAAAGGAAACCACAAAGAAAAAAAAGACCTAAAAAAATGGACGAAAAAAAAAAAACTACCAAAATACCAAATAAACAATACCAAACAAATCAGAAAGGAACCAAATAAAATTTAAAAGAATATACAGAAACAAAAATATGTAATAAGAAATTAAAAATTCAAAGAAACAAGAAGGACATCAGCAAAACAGGGAACTGGGAAACTCCATATTCTCACCCATGCAGAAGTGCTAAGGAAAACCACCAGAGGCTGCTAAAACAACTCTGTAAGATCTCTGAAAGCAGACGAACATTTACAGCAACCAAGCGAACCTTCAACTGATAAAAAACCATCTTGGTCCTGTCTGGGCAGCGAAACTAATTCACAGTCCCACCCACTGTGGGAAACAGCCTTTAGGAAACCCGCCCAATGCATACAGTAAACTCCACAGCCCACCCTACCACTACACTTACAGTGGCATTCAGCACAGAGCACAACTGTCTGCAGAGCAAAATCGGTGGCCCAATCTGGCCAAGTAATTCAACGCACAGTCCTACCTGACTTGGGTCTCCAAATAACAAGCCAAGCTAGCCATGTGGCCCATTCTGGTGCCTCACTCAAGCAGGAAAGCTAATTCATAGTCCTGCTTACTGCTGAGTACAGTACCCAGTGCCAAGCATCTAGGAAGCCGGACGGGAAAACCCAGGCAACCACGGAGCCCATCCTTCAGCCTCGCTTGAACAAGGAACCACGCCAGCTGTCCTACCCAGCTATTCTCAGCCAGCACGACTGCTTATCACCTGACTTCAGAGCTCAGGTAGTGGCCTCACCCAAAACCATAACCTGAGAGCAAGCCTCACCTGTCCAAGCACACTATCAACGAGCATATCTGAGACCCCAAGATGACCCAAACACAAAGAACTGTCCCTGCCAAAGCAAACCAGTGAAGTCTGGAAGAAAAGACAGCTTATGCAAATGCACAAATACCAATCTAAGAAAGTGAGTATTGTAAAGGATCAGGTAAACATGATGAAAGAAATTGAATAAAGCTACAATAACTGACCAGAAAGAAATAAAGATCTATGAAACCCCAACGAATTCAGAATAATCCTCTTTAAAAAGTTTAACAAACTACAAAAACACACAAATGGAAAAGAAAATTTTTAAAAAATGTGTAAACAAAACAAGACATTCAACACAAATAAAAAACCATCAAAAGAAAAATTCCTAGAGCTGAAGAATATGATAACCGCACTGAAGAATTCAACAGGGACCTTCAACATCAGACTCTATCATGCAGAAGAAGTCAGTGAGCTTGAAGACAGGTAATCTGAAATTAGCCAGTTAGAAAAGAAAGAGAAAAACAAAGAATGAAAAAGAGTAAGAAAGCCCACAAGATTTATAAGACATCATTAAACATATATATGTATGTATGCATGTATGAAGCCCACAAGATTTATAAGACATCATTAAACATATATATGTATGTATGAATGTATGAATGTATACACAAACATACATACACACACATATACTTTATGGGAGTCACAGAAGAAGAGATAACAAGGCTGAAAAGTTTATTTAAAGAAATAATGGAAGTGACGTCAGAAACACGGCAGAGTGAGAAATGTCCCCAGATCTCTCCTCTTGAAACAACAACAAGCTGAAAATCTAAAACTCAACAAAAAACACCCAATCTGCACACCAGCACATCTGAGCATGGGATCTGCGCATAAGAGCTACCACAGGTCAGTACACCAGGAGTCTGGTGGTAGACTGGGAGAAACAAAGAAGCTGCCTCTCGCAGCTGGAGTTCCCAGCAGGAGGAAGGGGAGTGGAGAAGGTGTGGAGGGTTCCCTGAGCAACCTTGTCTGAGAAAGTTGTGAGCTCCACAGAGTGGCAGTACCCAGGGACCAGAGTTGAAGGCAGAGAAGTGGGGACAGTAGAGAAGTGGAGATGGCAGAGGAGTAACAATTGATTATTACCAGCCGCAGCTGCAAAATATGAGGCTGAGCCACAGCGCCCATTCCCTCAACCCAGAGGGCCCCTCCCCCCATATACTCCAAGACTGAACATGGCGGAGCCCCAGGGGAATCTGAACAAATGATACCGAAACTCGTTAACATTGACAGGGACTGAGAATAAGATTATGATTGAATGTTTGTAAGGAAAAAAAGGCTTTATTGGGACTTTACATAAAGCAGGGACCCAAGAGGCTTAGACGCCACCTACTGGAAACCAAAAGACAAAAGCCTTCTTAGCAACAGGTTAAAAAGAGACCTTTATATAATAAATATTCTTTCTGGGAAGAAAAAAATAAAGCAGAATACACTTCCACTAATCTCCA